ACCAAAGAGCAAAAAAGAAAAAAAAAAAAAAAAAAATGGATTGGTTGGTGGGGGGGGGGGCAACAAGCCGCTTAAGCCAGGTATAATGTGAATACGCGCCCCACCCCCCACCCACTAACATCAAATACGAGACCGGTCTGCGTTTGCTCTTCGGTGGGTGTCAATAGAGATGAGAGATGTAGGGATGCTTGGCCTATGGTTTTGTGGGTTGTCAGTGGGGAGAGGTTGGCTTGACTACCTGTTTGAGGCCAAATACTGCTCAACTGTGTCAGAGTTAGGAACACGTTTCAGCGACAGAAAAAAACACACACACACCAGAGCAGAGGCCTACTGGATACTAACCGAAAGATTGATAATTCTAAGATTTCGACATCATATTTCTGCTGATGTTTCTCAAACGTGTTGCTCGAAAGGATATTTATGGACTCCATACATTCAAGCGATGAATGAGATGGTTTTAATATTCGTCTCTGCGTTTTATCTTTACAAATTGCAGTGTATTTAGTAATCCCTAGCTGTTCGGAAAACACATCGAAAACCTTTCCGTTTAATCTTGGCGTAGGCTCGTCAAGAATTTTACTAAACAAAATTGACACGCCCTACTTACGTGATCCATGATATATTATACAACTGTGTATATTAATATTAAGTAGGCCTACAGCATTAGTGAGCTTAGAGACTTAAAACGTTATTAAGCAATTGGAACTTTGTTCAATTTGAATAGTGGTTCCTCAGAAGTGGGCCGAGCCTGCTTAGTGTTCGAAAAAAAGCCATTGAAATTGTGTGTGGACCAAGGTTTGGTCGATGATATCAAGACACCAAGTGAAATGTAATGGTGTTTCCGAAGTGGTCCTGTCGTCGACATGTATGCTGTAGAATGATTTGGTTTTCTGCCATTCCGAATTGGATCGCCGTCGCTACTTTAATCACGGCATGCCTGGGAGCAGGGAGAGGACCTTTGAGTGGTTAGTACATTTTCTATGCAGTTTTGTTCTTGCGATATATATATATATATATGCATGTGTATAGTTTGTCAAGAGTAATTATTATAGAGAGCTAGATGAAAAGTTCAGAGGTGTGGTTATCGTTGGCAACGACTGTGGCAGGATCCAGACAAACATGTAGAAAGAGATACACAAAATTCATAGGAGTATACCAAGTGCAGAATAAGGAGGTCACCTAACTATAATTAAAAAGACAGTTCTGTGGGTCCTTTAGGACCACTGCTGAATTAGCGTGCCTGGAAATGTCAGTTATCTGACCAGACTCATAGTTTTTGTTGTTGTTCTTCGTCTATATTTTAATAAAATATCAAAGTATTGATCATTCTGGCTCTTATGTTTTAGTGTTTTTTCAACATAGATGGAAAGGTGTATTCACCCTTAAATGTTGTGACGCCCATGAGTGATAATTAAAGCTGTGACGTAGTACTTGATTAAGACCTTTGGGAGTGACTACCTATAAAAATAGGTGATGACTTTCCAAAAAAAGACAATCCACTTTTTGTCACATTCAGTTAAATCAGGGGTCTCCAAACTGCGGCCCGCGTTTAGTTTTTCTACTTCCGTATACAGTCAATTAAATGAAACTATATAACGCCATCTAGTGCCGGAGCTTTGCCCGCCGTGTTGCAGAAATGGGTGAAAACATTGTAACTCAAATAGTGAAAAATGAAAGAAAGTTTCGCCAATTTTTAATTGCAATTGATGAATCGCTGGACAGCTGTTCCACCTCTCAACTGCGTGTGTTCGTTAGAGGTGTGGATGAAGACATGAGCATAACACAAGAGCTGACTTCCCTAAATAGCATGTACGGAACTGTTACCGATGAGTTGAACAAAAATATTTGCTGATTATAACTTGGACTGGACTAACCTCAGTTGCCTGACTGCTGATGGAGGAAAGAACACGAGTGGCTTAAAGAAAGGCTTGGTTGGTCAAGTGAAGCAGATGTGTAATGAGAAACAAATTCTGCAACCAATGTTCCTGCACTGTATTATTCACCAGAAAGCTTTGTGTGCTAAATATGTGGACATTAACAGTGTCCTGTTAACAGAAGAATCCTGTGGTGAAGAGGGTCAATTTAATAAGGTCACATGGGCTCAACCATAGACAGTTCAGAGACCTGTTGAAAGATACAGACACAGAATCTCAAAATTTACCATAATACAGAGCAAAAAGATGGATAAGTTGTGAGAAAGTTCAGAGCAGAGTATTTAAGTCAAGAAAGGAAATAGGCTACTTCCTGGAAAGTAAAGGCAAGCCACATGCATTACTGTTTGATGAAGAGGGGGTATGGAAAATGGCCTTTGCTGCAGACATAACTAGTCATTTAGATTTTCTGACCCTAAAACCACAAGGAGAAGAAAATCTAGTTTCTGATCTATACACGCACTTAACGGCCTTCGGTTCCAAATTCGACTTGTTAAATTCGACTTGTTTTTTGGAACAAGTACAGGCCAAAAATCTGACGCACTTTCAGCAGTGGACGGTCTTCATGGCTTAAGCAACAGCGGAGATCTCAACCTCATTTGTATGCGAGATCATCAAAGACAAGGCTTCAGTTTCAGCAGCAGTTTTCAGACTTAGATTTAAAGGTAGAAGAAGTGAGACTTTTTCAAAACCCATTTGAAGCAGATGTGGCCAGTAGCTCAGATAAACTGCACCTGGAGGTCACTGAGTTGCAAGCAATTGACCTCCTTAGGGATAAGTTCAAAGAAGGACTGGTGGGTTTTTACCAGTTTTCGCCCAAGGAAGTCGTTCCTAATTTCAAAACCTTTGCATCAAGGCATCGTTCAATCTTTGGAACAAGTTACCTGTTTGAACAAACATTTTCAAGAACGAAATACGTGGAGAACAATTTGAGAACAAATGTGTCCGATAATAATCTCAGGTCACTGTTGATGTTAGGAACATCAAATCTAAATCCAGCAATGTCTGCAAATCACTGCTATTTTGGCACCCAGTAAACAATTTCACCATTCCAAATCAAACAGGTGTTCATGTGTCGTGTATGAATGTGTTATTAAATAATAAATGAATGAAATATAATACATAACTAAAAACAACATCCATGTTTTGATTATTTTTTATATGGACCTCGAGTGTGTAGTCGGCCCCCGAACTGCTGTTCGATAGTTAATGCGGCCCTCGGGCTGAAAAGTTTGGAGACCCCTGAGTTAAATGAATGTCTATGGATATTGCAAACATCAACATTGATTTTTGACCACATCAAATTTGTCAATGACCACGATCACACTACATTTTTTGTCTTTTGTGACCAAGTTCACACTACATTTGACTCATTTGTGACCCCGTTCACACTACATTTCACTCATTTATCAAATTACTCGTTTTCTGCAGCAAAATTTTGTTATCCTTACATCAAATGCATCTCTCTACTGTCATACTCTTATGATTGTTATTACGTTTGTACTTAGAAGCCCTACACCCAAAAACAAAAAGGCGCCACAAGGTTTGCTGTCATCCAGTTCTGGCATACTCGTACAGTCACCCACTTCAGACGGCCCCCCCCCCCCCCTTTCTCCTTCCACCCCCAAAACCCGATCTGCGCCAAGTGATAGTTTGTACTTAGAAGCCCTACACCCAAAAACAAAAAGGCGCCACAAGGTTTGCTGTCATCCAGTTCTGGCATACTCGTACAGTCACCCACTTCAGACGACCCCCCCCCCCTTTCTCCTTCCACCCCCAAAACCCGATCTGCGCCAAGTGATCATCAAAGAGATCAAACAGAACCTATTTTAGTATTGTTTATACATTTAAGTTCTAAAGCAACACGGGACATGGGATGAATAAAAAATGTGATAACAGCGTTTTAAAAAAATGCTACAAACTGACTTTTTGTTGAAATATATTTAACTTTTCATTAAAAATTCCCTGGTCTTCAAAGCTGTCAACATGTCAATTCATTTGATCAGAATCAACATTCTTCACCTGACAAGATCAAAACTGACAAAGTCAATTTTAATGAAATAACCCATCAAAATGTTTGGAGTAGAAAAAAAATATGTAATAACCAGCTACAGGGGGAGGGAAAGGGAGGGGATGGGAACATATGAAAACAAACACCAGCGTACAGGTAACGCACTTGATACGAATCCCAGTAAGTGCCCCCCCCCCCCAGGCCCCCAAACCCACTTCTTTCTTTCCCCCCCCATGTAATAACCAGCTACAGGGGGAGGGAAAGGGAGGGGATGGGAACATATGAAAACAAACACCAGCGTACAGGTAACGCACTTGATACGAATCCCAGTAAGTGCCCCCCCCCCCAGGCTCGCAAACGCACTTCTTTATTTCCACTCCCCTGAACTATATTTACGTATCCGGAAATTCGTTTGAAAGAAATTTGATCGACGAAAATTTGATCACGGAAATTTGATCAAACTGAAATTTGGTCGAATCTTTTTTTTAATCTTTTTTTTGTTTTACTATAAAGTATAGTGCGTTCAAAAAGAAATGCGACGCAATTTTTAACGTATGAACTGAAAAAAACGACCTGGTTGCTTTCAACGAAAAGGTCAATGACCTGGTTGTTATCAACGAAAAGGTCTACGACCTGGTTGCTGGGGACATCTTGTTGGGATCATCTTGTTGAGGACATCTTGTTGGAGACATCTTGTGTGGGACATCTTGTTGGGGACATCTTGTTGGGGACAACTTGTTGGAGACATCTTGTTGGAGACATCTTGTTGGGATCATCTTGTTGGAGACATCTTGTTGGAGACATCTTGTTGGAGACATCTTGTTGGGGACATCTTGTTGGGGACATCTTGTTGGAGACATCTTGTTGGAGACATCTTGTTGGGGACATCTTGTTGGGATCATCTTGTTGGAGACATCTTGTTGGAGACATCTTGTGTGGGACATCTTGTGTGGGACATCTTGTGTGGGACATCTTGTTGGGGACATCTTGTTGGGGACATCTAGTTGGGATCATCTTGTTGGAGACATCCTGTTGGAGACATCTTGTTGGAGACATCTTGTTGGAGACATCTTGTTGGAGACATCTTGTTGGAGACATCTTGTTGGAGACATCTTGTTGGAGACATCTTGTTGGAGACATCTTGTTGGAGAAATCTTGTTGGAGACATCTTGTTGGAGACATCTTGTTGGAGACATCTTGTTTGGGGAAATTTTGTCAGGGACATCTTGTTTGGGGATTTTAGGGGGATATGTTGTTGGGGACATTTTGTGCGGGGAATTTTGTCGTGACATCTAGTTGGGCATATCTTGTTGGGGAGATCTTGTGCACGACATTTTGTTGGAAAATCTTGTTGGAAATCCTTACCTCTCTTGGCTCTGGAAGGAGGACTTGGGTATTTTCATAATTTCTAGGGATACTCTGGCCATGATCTTTTTTGTTTCTGGGCGAAATTTGCCTGACACACATAAGTTGTACAGAAGAGACACTGTGAGAAGAAAAAAATAATCTCAATGTATAGCACTCAATGTGATCAAAATAAATAAGATGATTATGCATACAAAATTGAGATATCTTGAATAGCTCTAAAAGTTGAGCTGACAGAAGACAGCGTTTGACATCTCTTGGTAACAGTGGGTGAAACATATTCAAAATTAAATCTAACATTTACGGCACGAAAAAAAGCGTGCTCACCTTTATGACCAACGAACACAAACTTTAATATATTATTTACATATTTATATCTCTGGTTCGCTTCATATATGAAAATTCTATTCATAGTTAGATCTCTGGTTCCCGTAGGGCTATACATAGATAAAATTCTATTCACAGTTAAATTTCTAGTTACATTGCACTACGCATATGAAATTCTATTCGCGGTTATATCTCTGGCTCGCATAGTACTATACATAGATGAAACTATATTCACAGTTAAATCTCTGGTTCGCATAGTGCTACATATGTGAATGTTATTCACAGATAAATCTCTAGTTCGCATAGAGCTATACCTAGATGAAATTATATTCACAGTTAAGATTCTGGTTCGCATAGTGCTACATAGGTGAATTATATTCACATTTAAATGTCTGATTCGCTGAGTTCTACATTTATGAATTTCTATTCACAGTGAAATCTATGGTTCGCAGAGTGCTACATAGGTGAAATTCTATTCATAGTTTAATCTCTGGTTTGCATAGTGCTACAGAGATGAAGATCTATTCACAGGTAGTCCTAAATATTACTTTTTTAGCTTTTAAATGGACTTAGATTGTATTTAATGGATGAAACTAATCGGTTATAGAGTTCAAGGAGTGGGGAGTGTAAAAATAAACAACTGTTACAAAGTGCTCAAACTTTGATAACAACACAGAAAAGATGTAGGGTTCTCAAGAACTTGACTTCACTTTCTCCTCCAACTCCTTGTTGCCAGAGACCTGGCAGCGCTTCTTCTTACAAAGATGAGTAACATTTGGCTTGAGTGATGAAGCAACAGAGACCCTCAGTATAGCTTAAAGATGCTCATCAGTAAATTTGGCCATGAATTTTGACTTTTTAAAGTTCATAGTGGAAAAGAGCTTTTCACAGAGATAATTACTCACTGAAAGGCACATGATCGGGTTGAAAAACCTGGATATCTCAGGGAAGGTGGAAGGCAATGCTCTCATAAATTGTCCAAGCGTGTCTGTTTTCACAGATCAATCAGCTCCATATAAAGTGCAAAAAGAGGGGGGGGTGTGGCATCTTCCACATTGAAGGAGGAAGGGTCAGCAAAAGTTTGAAAAATGTCTTTGGGTGTTTTGAAGTCTGCAAACCTGTGATCAATTCTTCATGTAGCTTTCCAAGGGCATCAGTATACTTACTACTGAATTGTGTGTCAGAGTCCAAGAGTACTTTGAATGTTGGAAAATGGCTTAGGCTTCTCTGAGAATCATGACACGAGTTTTCTGCAGCATGCCTTGACATTTTCATAGGCAACATTGACAAGCTGCCCCTGGTCTTGTAATTTCTTGCTGATTAAATTCAGCTCCTGTGTAATATAAACAAGAAAAGCCAAGTCCATGGGCCATTTGGGATCACTTAGTACAGGAACAACAACCTCATCATTCTTTAAGTGGGATTTAATGCAAAAACGTGTTCAAACGGTAAGCAGGCCTTATTTATGAATTATTGATGCGAGGTAAGATGCTATGGTAGGTATAATAAATTTTGATTTTTTTTTTTATAGTTTAAAAGGCCTTTTTAACTTATCCTATTTTGAAAGTGACCAAGCTGACAGGCTCGGAATTTCCCTCACTCGTAAACACTAGCGGAAATTTTAATAGGGATTGTTTGGGACAGATTGTTACGATTTACCCAAATATGGTACTGAACTACCCGCTAACTTACTTTTTAAACTTTACTCAAAACCGCAATTTGGCCATGTTTGTCTCAAAAAATAAAAACTTTAAATCTGATTTTTAAACTTTTTTTACCATTATAATCAATGTCCAAACCTATACAAAAATAATACAAATCGGAATAAGACTAGTCGGTGAGATTCGACTAAACCCGTCGCGGAATGTCAGGTTAGAGATTTGAGAATGGGGAAAACACGTGGGCTGTATTAACACTAAACTTTGCTGTCAGGTAGCAGGCCGAAAAATGTCGTCTTGCTTGAGACCTCTGGTCTAAGGAGACACTCCCCTAATTTGTTTAAATTTCAATGTCAAAAGGTAAATTTTGGAGTATATTTGAATGCAGTTTTCCTTTCAGAAAAAACACACTATTTGTTTAAGGGAAGGAATTTTTCAAGCTTTAGGGACATTCGTTATGGCTCCCAGTTCTATACATAAGCTGAATTCACTCCAAATTCAAAATGAAGTTATGTATTTAGGCGCATACTTGATTTCGATGTTGTTTTTTTCCAGATAATTTTTGGAGTTGGAATTTCATACTTTTGGGTGGGAAGCGCCGAAAGTAGCGATAAATGATAAAAACGAACGACTAGTGCTATTTTTAGATCTACTAGAGCCCAACGTGAACTAAATTCATTCTAAATGTTTATAGTCCCCTGGAAAAAAATAATTAAATCCTGAATTAAGTTTTGCAACATTCTACATTTAATCGGAAATCAACGGAAGAGATGCACTCTATAATTGTAGCTGTCACTTGACCTTAAATTCTTCGTGTGCACCCTTCAAGCCCTTCAACCCCTTAGGTTGACCTGGTTGTGCTATACCAATGTATTTTTTTCTTATAGTAGTCAATAGTAATGGATGTCTATCTTTTATTTAAAACAATTTTGAATGTATGAAATAAAAATACAAATATTTTTCAATTAAAAATTCCATTTCTACCACACAAAAAAACAACAGTTTTGCATCGCAAAAAGGGATTGTTTACATTATTTTACTCGATGAACGCAAACAAACAACAGCTTACCTATCATAATTAAATTTTCTAAATATTTCTACGTTTTACCTGAGTCAAAATTATTTTAAAAAAAAAAAACTGTATGGATGAAAGGTCTATACATTTTCAAAGGATTTAAAAACCGGACAGTTTTATACACCGTTTATGGACGGCATAAATCTGTTAAGAAGACATCAAATGTTAACAAAAGACAGCATAGAGTTAATAATGTGTGATTTTATCTGAGGGAAATCGTATAAAAATAAAGTATACAGTAAAGCGTGCCAAAAGAGGGGGGGGGGGACATTGTTTATTATACCATATTAAAAACAAAAAATCTTTTAAACATTCCAAAAATAAAAGGCTTCCTATTTTTAAAAAAAAAAAAAAAAAGTAAAAAGTAAAGCGGGGCAAAAGAGGGGGGGGGGGGACATTGTTTATTATACCATATTAAAAACAGAAAATCTGTTAAACATTCCATAAATAAAAGGCTTCCTATTTTTAAAAAAAAGAATTATTCAGAAAACTGCATTACAAAAGTCGAGAGATTAGCTTTAAACATACGGATTATCAAATATATCTACCGTAGCAATGTGTCATAGGTTCCTATAATTTTAATGAATTAAAGGCACCAGTTCCCATCAATTTTAATTACTTTATAAAAAAGAACCAATAAATGTCCGTTTTATCGTTGTACATATTTTGGGAGTGAGGTTAAGTTGACTTTCTCCCCGGGGGCATTGTACACCCCGTCACCGGTGACATGCTTGAAATAACAATTGTATGTAATAATATATGTAACGCTATTTGGACTTAGATGCGACAAAGGATGCCTCCTTACTTCATTTAACAATAATGCATGACACAACAGTACCTCAGTGTGTCACAGATAATTACCGAGTTTTTTATCTTATCAACAAGGCAGTGCAATCAAGTCTGTTTAAACCAAGTCTCTTTGTACAAAGGCTACCCTTTCTATTTAAACTATGCCTGTCTGTACAAAAGCTACCTTTTCTGATTAAACTAAGCCTGTTTGTACGAAGGCTACCTTTTCTGTGTAAACTAACCATGTTTGTACAAAGGGTATCTTTTCTTTCTCGAACTATTTCTGTTTGTACCTTTTCTGTTTAAACTAAGTCTGTTTGTACCTTTTCTGTTTAAACTAAGTCTGTTTGTACAAAGGCTACTGTTTCTGTTTAAACTATTTTCTTCACGTTTTTATCAGCTTCGGCCTGCTATGGAAACACAAATGAGTGGATCCGGTTGGAGTGTGTTGAAGGTGAGAAGATTAACGTGACGAAGATCATCCATGGAGCCAAGCTCAAGAGTGACAACTGCCCGAGTCCTGCAGACATCAGCACGTACAGGAGAGAATGCTGCCTCCGAAATGCGACCGTAAGTTTAAAAAAGAGGACATTTTTACCTGTCAACTTGGCATTAATTTACAACTAAACTCCTATAATTACAAGCTGAGAATACATTTTTACTTGAATATAAATTATAAATTACAAGCTGAGATTTAAATCACCAGTTAAGATTCAATCTATAAGCCGAGAAATTAATTATGGTATTAGAAGTAAATTAAAATTTGAGAGAAAAACCAAATTTGAAAGTGTCTATATTGGAGAATAGGGATACGTACATTACATACTATCAGTAGCATGCTCCCACATGGGTAAGTGTTTGATCCAATATACACGCATCAGGAGCCGGCCTTTGTTACATGCAGGAGCAAGGCTTATCTTGGGGACGCCAGATTCTAAAGATGTAACCTTGAACCCAAACAATAAGGGTTTACACCATTCATCGACAGTAAGTTTTTTTTCTCTCACAAATTAAGAATATGATGCCGTTGATGGACTCTTCGCTGATAGGCCTACCCTTTTTACAACATACGTGGGGTAATGGTAAACCACCATGACTATTGAAAGGAAATAGTTGGACACCCCCAACCAAATGTTTTAAAAAATTTGTAACTGTTTGGAAACAACGGCATTTATTGATACAAACATTGTGTGAAATATTTATTGATTGATCATTTATTTTTGACTGACAACACTATTTTGAATAAGAAGACCACAAAGAAAATATTTTGGTTGAAAAATCTCATTAGGACATTTTGGATAGCATTGTACTGAGAGGTCTGTGTTACAGTGATCTCTTCCTATCGGGGCGGGGTTAGCGGGGCAAAGTTAGGGCCAAGTAATACAATGATTGAAGTATTTATTGGCAATGTAGATTTAGAGAATGCAGGTTTGGTGGAACGCGTAAAAAAAAAGGGGGGGGGGGTAGGGGATTGAAACCCGTAGAAATAAGATCGTTGCAACACACAAGAGAAAATGAAGATAGTGACGCCATTTAGGTATATTTAATTGTTATGTTAAGTAATTTGTGTTCACTTATTTTGATTTTTTTTTTAGGACCTTAAAGACTTAAAGATTATAAGTTTTATGCAAGAAGCACAAAAAATTTGAATAGATTCATAGACAAATGTTTTTACGACATACAGTTTACAGCAATGAAGCTTGCAGACAGTATTCATGAACCATTTTTTAACAATCAACAAAGTTAAAGAGTTTTCGCTCGCAAGAAACCCAAGTTTGATTATGATTCAAATCTATTGAATATCCTCTTTCTTGTTATGGTGTTGAAATGTTAAAATATCATAACTGATATCGCTATAAATTCTTTGTCAGAATGTTCTGAGAAAATGAAATAACATAGTAACAGTTTTAAAGGGTTTACAATAAAAATATCTTAGGCAGTGATCAGTAATATATTCGAATTATTTTAACAAATACTATCTCTTGTACAAAGGCTACCATATAAAATATATGTATTGTGTTAAGAAATATTATCTACTGTAAAAAGTCTCTCATGTAAGATGTCTTAATTGTGTTAAAAAATATTATCTCTTGTGCTAAGGCTATAATGTCAGATGCCCTAATTGTGTTAAGAAGTACTATACATTTTACAAAGGCTACCTTGCAAGATATCTGAATTGTGTCAAGAAATAATATCTATTGTAACAAGGCTTCCATGTAAGATATCTGAATTGTGTTAAGAAATAATATTTATTGTACAAAGGCTATCTTGTAAAATATCTCCACTGAACGTCTTTACATAATTTTTAAGTTTTTCTAAAGTATAATTGATTTAAATATATATATGTATATATATATATATATATATATATATATCAGTCTATAAGCCAGGAAAGTCTTCCATCTTTTCTTCTGGCTACGCCTTTTCAAATAAAGTCATTTTAACTTGAAATTGGATGCGATTTCAATATTATATATCAACACTAAGTTATAATTATGGTCTATTGTTGATACCCAAATGTCAGGATCAGACCCTGCTATTTCAGGACTCCTATATTCTGTCTTCTCCAGCAGGGCTTTTTTAAAATTATTAACAGTTAAATGTGTTGGAAGAGGTAGTGGTGCTAAAATTAGAACTGCCTGGGGCGCCAACATTTAGAGCTGCCAGGGGCGCCAAAATGGCTAAGGCCGGTCCTGCAAGTAACACGCAGTAAAAACAAAACAACAAACTTTATTGCGGTGGTCAACTTTGGTTACATTAATGAGAAACCTGGAGGCTGATGGGGAAGACTCCCTTTATGTCCTCACATTCGTTGTTGGGACCAAAATCAGATGTAAGGCATGGCTTTTGTAATAATTTTAGCACTAGCTTCTTCCCCCACCTCTCCCGTGATCATGAACGGCACATTACAAGTCTATTTTGGTTCTTCATTATCAATCCTCAAGTCATAAAGCTTAAAAGAGTGCTGTCAGTCCATTCTCAATGTATAATGACCACGATTCCTACAAATTATAAAGTCTACGAATTATTACTATAGGGATTTCAAATCTAAAGTCCAACATAACGTGTGTATTGTAGTATAGCTATAGGTATAAATAAATTGTATTGGTTATGCAATGTTACAATTGTATTCAATATTAATGTTATATTTTTGAAAGGATTGCCTGGTGACAGTACAGGACAGTGCAAGTGTGGAGTGCAATGGTAAAGTCATGTGTAGCGTCAAATCGACCTGGTCAATGGTCAGCAAGGAATGTAACCAGGACAACTATCTCGACCATACAAACTACATGATCATGGAATACACATGTGTGGGTGAGTACGTTCGATTTTTAGCCAAATGGCTATGTACCTGTGTGTGCTTACATGTCTTGGTAGGGACATTAGCCATTTAGCTACATGGCTATGTACCTGTGTGTGCTCACATGTCTTGGTAGGGACATTAGCCATTTAGCTACATGGCTATGTACATGTGCACATGTACAAGTGTGGGTGAGGACATTAGAATCTCAGCTAAATGGCCATGTATCTTGGTTGTGTAAATTTTTTTGTAAATGCGTTCGACGTTCAGCTACATACATGGCTATATATATGAGTTCACCATGAACTGGCTAGGCAACACGGTTATTAAAGCCGTGGAGCTTTGTGAGCCAGAGATTTGATTGAAATGATGAGTTCACATACTTTGTGAAGACGTGAAGTCATTGTTTTAGTTTTGCCAGGCAGTTAATACACTGTTTGTTAAAGATGTGTAGAACTATTTCTGACACTTTTAATTTTTTTGAAACATCAGTGATTTGTTTTGGTGCTCAATTCTTTGACTGTGCTGCACAGTTGTTTGGAAGTTGGACTGTGTTCGACACACAGCCGGTAGTTGGAGCGTGCTGGACACACAGCCGGTAGTTGGACTGTGCTGGACACACAGCCGGTAGTTGGACTGTGCTGGACACATAGGCAATGCATAAAGAACCCGGACTTTCTAACGTCTTATGGTTGCTTTGACGGCATTCTACACATCCGATATTTAGGGCTAGGAAAAAGAAACGGAGTCCTGGACTCTCACCATTTTTTTTTCTGCGGCCATAGGATGGGTTGCCCTACTCCTGGCCAACGAGCTCTCCGTCACAGTACGTTACACCACCAGTTACATTAATAAACCAGCTTTATAGGTGCTTCTGAACGTGGGTGGTTCGTACCAAAGGCTTCACTGGGGCTGGTATCATCCGGTTGTGGTAAACTCATGGTGTCCACCCCCTTGTTTTTTCCGTACTTCACCCGGCCTCTCCCCAACCCGACCTGTTTCGAGTAATTCTTAAAAAAGGTCAAACAGAACCGGATTTAGTCGTGTTCGTACATTTAAGTTTTACAGCAACACAAGTCAGACGAAGAAAACAGCGTTTTTTTTTTTTTTATTTGAAACATTAAATTTTACTGTTCAAACTTTACTTGCCAGGTCCTTAAAGTGGCAAAATGTTAATGCTATTTCAAAATCAACATATTTCACCTTATCGCTTTAAATTTTCAAAATCAACATTCGTTGCCTATCACTTTCAATGGAGAAAATCACCTATAAGAAGGCCACGACTGTTTCATGGCTGATAGCAAATAGTTCTTTGTGTGTTGCAGTTTTGAAAAGCTCCTCGCACATGAAGGCATCTATAAATAGATCGTGATAAAATCAGGCCAGCACAACTCAAAATGTAAGGCGGGCCGTAATACTGTAGGAAAAATGTGTGCGAGCCGAAAGAAAATAGGACAGGGGTTTAAAGCTATTAAGAAAATAATAATAATAAAGAATATTTTGTTGCTTGGCGGGCCGCAAGGTGGGTGCTACTGGCCGCATGCGGCAGCGGGCCGTATGTTGTGTAGGTCTATGATAATTAACTGTTCGCTTAATGATGCGATTGGTGGCACCCTGTTCTGGTGGCACCCTGTTCTTGTGGCACCCTGTTCTGGTGACACCCTGTTCTGGTGGCACCCTGTTCTTGTGACACCCTGTTCAGGTGGCACCCTGTTCTTGTGGTTGCCTGCTTTGGTGGCAGCCTGTTCTGGTGGCACCCTGTTCTTGTGACACCCTGTTCAGGTGGCACCCTGTTCTTGTGGTTGCCTGATTTGGTGGCAGCCTGTTATGGTCACAACCATTATTCATGGCACCCTGTTCTGGTTATGAAATCGACTCGATCGAATTCAGTTAATTTGCATGTTCCATTAAGTGTCAACTCCCTTTGAGGGCATCACCAGATGTGGAACAGCCCCACCCAATCCACACCAGAGAAGCCTGGGGTTCGAACCCCCAGATGATGCGAGGTGGCATTTCAAAGGATATAAGGAAACATGATTCCAAGTTTACATTAAAATTATTGGTTTATACGGCACTTTCATTTATTGGAACATGTTACGGTGAATGTGTGCTATGACACAGTTTCTGCTCTATGTGCTATAGCTTCCTTTGTCATTAAACAAATAAATTAGAATTCTTATATGGTACAATATCAAAAATAAATTTTAACTCTATCTGGGGCAGCCGTACTTGGTCATATAATTCATGTGTGGGTGTGGGGGTGGGTGTGGGTGTTGGTGTGGCAGTGCAATGTTAGTTGAAAATTGTGTATGTGTGCGGAGTATAAAGAAATTTTAGAAATTCTTAGCTATGGGATTATCCACATATAATTTAATATATCAGCTAAGTGTTTGTACAAATGTATGGGCTGGTACACTAAATGTGTGGGTTGGTACACTAAATGTGTGGGTTAGTACACTAAATGTGTGGGTTGGTACACACATGTGTGGGTTGGTACACTAAATGTGTGGGTTGGTACACTAAATGTGTGAGTTGGTACACTAAAGTTGTGGGTCGGTACACTAAATGTGTGAGTTGGTACACTAAATGTGAGAGTTGGTACACTAAATGTGTGGGTTGGCACACTACATGTGTGGGTTGGTACATTAATTGTGTGGGTTAGTACAATAAATGTGTGGGTTGGTAAGTAAATGTGTGAGTTGGTACACTAAATGTGGGGGTTGGTACACTAAATGTGTGAGTCGGTACACTAAAGTTGTGGGGTGGTACACTAAATCTGTGAGTTGGTACACTAAATGTGTGAGTTGGTACACTAAATGTATGAGTTGGTACACTAAATGTGTGGGTTGGTATACTACATGTGTGGGTTGGTACACTAAATGTGTGGGTTAGTACAATAAATGTGTGGGTTGGTAAGTAAATGTGTGAGTTGGTACACTAAATGTATGGGTTAGTACACTAATGTGTGGGTTAGTACACTAAATGTGTGAGTTGGTACAATAAATTGTTGGTGCAGTACATTTTTGGGTTTGTACACTAAATGTGTGAGTTGGTACACTAAATGTGTGATTTGTAACTTAATGTGTGGGTTGATACACTAATTGTGGGGGTTGGTACACTAAATGTGTGGGTTGTACAGAAAATGTGTGGGTTGTACACTAAATATGTGGGTTGGTACACTAAATTTGTGGGTCGGAACACTAGATGTTTTGGTTGGTACACTAAATGTGTCGGTTGGTACACTAAATGTAGCGGTTTGTACACTAAATGTGTGGGCTGGTTCACTAAATGTGTGGGTTGGTACACAAAATGTGTGGGTTGGTACACTAAATGTACTAAAAAAGGTGGAAGTTTATGTATATAAATATTAGTTTCATTTTATAACTTTTGTAACATACATGTATGACTAAAGTAAATTGTGTTTAAAAATTGAATCAATTCCAATCAATTCTTACTTTTTATTTTTACGAAACAATTTTTGTTTCTGTTTTTTGCATGACAAAACTGGACGCTGGAGTAACATCCCCAAAGTAATTTTAAATTCTTGTTTTTAACATCAACATTGTGATTCAACATTTGTACACTGTACATTCCTTGTGACATCAACATTGTGATTCAACATTTGTACACTGTACATTCTTTGTGACATCAACATTGTGATTCAACATTTGTACACTGTACATTCCTTGTGACATCAACACTGTGATTCAACATTTGTACACTGTACATTCCTTGTGAATCAACATTGTGATTCAACATTTGTACACTGTACATTCCTTGTGACATCAACATTGTGATTCAACATGTGTACAATGTACACTCCTTGTGACATCAACACTGTAATTCAACATTTGTACATTGTGATTCAACATTTGTAAACTGTACATTCCTTGTGACATCAACACTGTGATTCAACATTTGTACACTGTACATTCCTTTTGAATCAACATTGTGATTCAACACTTGTACACTGTACATTCCTTGTGACATCAACATTGTGATTCAACATGTGTACACTGTACACTCCTTGTGACATCAACACTATAATTCAACATTTGTACATTGTGATTCAACATTTGTACACTGTACATTCCTTGTGACATCAACATTGTGATTCAACATTTGTACATTGCACACTCCTTGTGACATCAACACTATAATTCAACATTTGTACATTGTGATTCAACATTTGTACACTGTACATTACTTGTGACATCAACATTGTGATTCAACATTTGTACACTGTACATTCCTTGTGAATCAACATTGCGATTCAACATTTGTACACTGTACATTCATTGTGACATCAACATTGTGATTCAACATTAGTACACTGTACACTCCTTGTGACATCAACACTTTAATTCAACATTTGTACATTGTGATTCAACATTTGTACACTAAACATTTCTTGTGACATCAACATTGCGATTCAACATTTGTACACTGTACACTCCTTGTGACATCAACACTGTGATTCAACATTTGTACACTGTACATTCCTTGTGACATCAACATTGTGATTCAACATGTGTACACTGTACACTCCTTGTGACATCAATACTGTGACATCAACACTGTGAATCAACACTGTGAAATCAACACTGTGACATCAATACTGTGACATCATTACTGTGACATCAACACTGTGACATCAACACTGTGACATCAACACTGTGACATCAACACTGTGACATCAACACTGTGACATCAACACTGTGACATCAATACTGTGACATCAATAATGTGAAATCAACACTGTGACATCAACACTGTGACATCAATACTGTGACATCAATACTGTGACATCAATACTGTGACATCAATACTGTGACATCAACACTGTGACATCAATACTGTGGCATCAACACTATGACATCAACACTGTGACATCAACACTGTGACATCAATACTGTGACATCAACACTGTGACATCAATGCTGTGACATCAACACTGTGACATCAATGCTGTTACATCAACACTGTGACACCAATGCTGTGACATCAACACTGTGACATCTACACTGTGACATCAATACTGTGACATCAATACTGTGACATCAACACTGTGACATCAATACTGTGACATCAACACTGTGACATCAATACTGTGACATCAACACTGTGACATCAACACTGTGACATCAATACTGTGACATCAATACTGTGACATCAATACTGTGACATCAATACTGTGACATCAATACTGTGACATCGATACTGTGACATGAACACTGTGACATCAATACTGTGACATCAACATTGTGACATCAATGCTGTGACATCAACACTGTGACATCAATACTGTGACGTCAACACTGTGACATCAATACTGTGACATCAATACTGTGACATCAACGCTGTGACATCAACAATATGACATCAATACTCTGACATCAACACTGTAACATCAAAGATGTGACTCAATATGTGTGCACTGTCTATTCCATGTCTTAACTAAAGACTTACGGGGAATTGAATTATTTAATTAATTTCTAAATATATATATATATATGTTGTGTGATTTAAATCAAATAATGAGTATTCAATATGTACACTAATATGTTTATACGATTATGTATGCACACCAGGCCCACCGACTTCGATTCCCCCGGTCATTAGCTCGACACAGGTCAAGGTCACTGAACATGATTTAAAAAATACAACAACCTTCCTGATTGATGACAAAGTCATTGAAACGTCCTTGGACAATACGACGACCCCGAGACCATCGACGAGAACTGTTGACGTGACGTCAGTGAAGACGACAACCACAAGCCAACCAGTCAGTGCCAATGTCACGGCAACCACATTGTCTTCTGGGACCAGTACGGTCTCCTTTGTGAGCAACACACAAAAGCACACGGCTACATCGACTGAGAGCAAAGACGAGCGTAAGTCATCGATCATTGCTTTTAATTTCTCATTAGTTTTTTAAAAAGTAATATTTAGTAGTGATTGCTAGTTAGTTTGGTGTTTTTACTAAGGGCGCGTCCATTAATGACGTCAAGAATATTTACGCAATTTTGACACCCCCCAAATTGTCAACATCTGTCAAACTTTCAAAGCCCCTCCCCCCAAGTAATTATATCAACATGATATAGCCCCAAACCAAAAAAAAAAATGAATCATAATATAAATAAATATATAAATACATTTAAATTGTGCTGATAAATAACACATACAATTGTTTAAAAGTTTTAAAACAAACTTAAATTTTAAAATCAAGAATCAATGAAAAGGTTGTTAAAGACTAAGTGTTATTGTTTGTGGAAGTATAAATATAATTAGTTTTGAGAATAATGTAATAACCGATTTTTAAAGATTAAGATAATTATAGAGAAAAGATGATTGTTGACGTCAATAAATCTTCACGCCCTCCTTTGTACAGAACGGTCGAACATGTCCAAACCTGCACCCCTACCCTATTTGGTTGGCATAATTATTGACGCCCCCTAAGCGTTCATGTCATGGATTCATTTTTTTCATCATTCATTTCTTTTCTTTAAAAAATGATAAAGAAATATAGAAAAATTAGAAGAGCCACCATAAAAGCCCTCTTTAATGTATATTTCTCGTTTCTTTCAGTGAGTGACGCAATGGTAGGAGCCATCGTCGGAGGTTCTCTGGGGATGTTGTTTACTCTGATGGCTTTTATTTTCTATTGGGGCAGGTGAGAAGTGAGGGGGGGGGGTTAGAGGGGCGGGGAATAAGGATTTATATAAAGGCCCATATTTTTTTACCATGACTGTATAGAAAATGAATTCTGAAATTAATATGTTTGTATATAAAAAAGATAATAATATAAGGTTATAAACTTAAATACCTCAACCATTTTTGTACTTCTTTTATCCGGGTATTTGCTACGGAAACCATTATTTTTTTCAAGAAGCAACACTGAGATGTGGCTTTTACTTAAACAGTTTTCTGGTTTTCAAGTTCATTGTGTACATTAGATTGGCAAATATCTATTTTGATCGTGTCTACAAAGTTCTGGTATCCTAAAACTTGATTTTTTTTATGTCAGATGTGTGCAGGATTCAATTCCCCTGAACAAAAGAATAGTTAAATGAGCATGAGATTACACTGTCTATACAATGTAGTCTCTTGAGCATTCTTAACGTAAAACCTGACCTCGCTTGTCAATATCGAAGTTATAACCAGATTTATCCAAGTCCTCCAATGATACCCGAATTGACCAAGTACACAAAGATAACATAATTATAACATAAGAGCATAAGTCCACCAATTATAACGCTAAATAACTAAGTCTACCTAAAATAAACATATTAACCTACGCTACGAAGAATAAACCTATTTATTTCAGTCCTATAAGAATACCTTCATTAACCAAGTCCACCAATGATAACCCTAACTAACCAAGTCCACCAATGATAACCCCAATTAATCAAGTCCACCAATGATAACCCCAACTAACCAAGTCCACCAATGATAACTCTAACTAACCAAGTCCACCAATGATAACCCTAACTAACCAAGTCCACCAATGATAACACCAACTAACCAAGTCAACCAATGATACCCCTAACACCGTCCCACGTTTGACTTGTCTCCAGGAAACGTCGTCTTCGCATTGTGGGCAAGTCTCAGCCCACCGTCTGGGATTATCTTCTCTCTCAGACCTTCACCGTCCGAGGGACCCGGGGCTACGACCATTTCTCCAGTGTGCGGTCATCTGTCATGTCTGACAGTGAGGCTAACAGTCCGACCTCCAGGTCAGTTCACGATTTAAATTCTCAATACTTGTATGCCAATATACAAGTACATTTCACATCCTTTGAGACAAATCAAGGCACATGATGAATTTAGGGTGCAAGCGAAGGTAGGAGCCCATCAGTTGTGATCAGCTGTACGGACTATATGCCATACATGACTAACTTAGGTTGTGGTCAACTGTATGGACCCCATACCATTTGTGGTCAACTGTATGGACCCCATACCATATACGACTGACTCTAAACCTAAGCAATACATATAAAAAACAAAAAACATACACAACTCTAGACACTGCACCTACAAACCTCGTTGACAAGTCTTCGGGAGGTAGACCCTAACAAAGATATTTAGATTTATTGACCTTTTTACACAATTTGACACCATTTGACACCAATTGTCACCATTTGACACCAATTGACACTATTGAACACCATTTGACACTATCTGACAGTATTTGACACCATCTGACACAATCAGACACCATTTGACACCATCTGATACCATCTAAAACCATCTGACACAATTTGACACCGTTTGACACTCCATAGGTTTCACGAGCTGATTCGAGAACGCATGATTTTAGAGTAGAATTGAGCCTTCTAATATGTTTAAGTAGCTTCGTGATTTCACTAGCATAGTCCATTTAAAGGCACACACTCATGTCACTAAGATTTTACTTGTAATTTGACATTTGTCACAATCTTTTTGGTCACATTTGTTACAAACTTTCTGCTCAGGTGTCTGCTAATATCAACCACTTATTTCACAGAAAAACCACATGGCTCCCGAATATAGTCCACCGGGACAGCATCCCGCGCGATGACAGCATCAGTAACTATGACAACGATGCGGACAGACAACACAGCGTGGAGATTCATCCGCACGCCACGCCCACGCCATACGCCTTCCTGAACTTGTATGTGGACCCCGGCAACCAGACCCACCACGACGCCTGAGTTTACACCCCCGAGCCCCCAGACCCACCGCGGCGCTTGAGTTAGTTGCCTAGCCTAATCTCAGTGACTAGATGTGGTTCTCGCACGCTTTTGGTCGCATTTAATCAAAACCGCTCCGGAACTTGGTTGAGGATGACATGGGCCGCCAGCATGCCACATTAAAATGTCATTCAGTTCAAGGCCTACGCCAGACTGACAATGTATATTATTCAAGAAAAAGGGATGAACTTTCTCATGACAATGTTCCCCTGTGTTACCATTCATCGCTTTGTTTTACAGCGGCGACATTAAATTTGAACACACATCAGAGATCACTTCCATACATATTCAATTCAATCAATACGTGTACAACACAAATATTCGTACCTTTCTCAAGAGTCGTCACGCAGGATTGTGTGCTCTGATATTTTGCAGATATGGTCTGTGTTGTTTGTTTTTCTGTTGTCAGCAAACATGTCATGCTGTCAGTAGACGTATGTGTCTGTTGTTAGTTGTTAGCTAACGGTCAAAATCATTTGCAAAATATGTTTTCTTTTTTTTTTTTGATAAATGTTTCAACATGACCATTGTTTAGATAAACAACTTAAATGCCATATTTTCGTTAATCCATTGTTTCATATTTTTTCTGCTGCAATGACATTTGGAGACATTTCATTTATTTCTGACGACAATTAAAAGTGTTCGTGTTTTATCTGAGAAGCAGCAAATCTATTGACTAGACTTGTAATACAGAGGGCTTTATATTAACATAATTAATAAAAAATGGTTACTTAACCCATTCGCTTTATTTCCTGGCCATAAACTGTACAATGCAGCTGCATATATTAAAATACTTAATAAGATAAGATAAGTTTTTTTTTATTGATTCACATAAATTGGATTTTTTAAATTACTTTGTACATATTCATTTTCAGCACAAAAATAAATACATACTTTTTTAACTGAGACAACATTTTACAATTACAACAATTGAAACACACGAAATCTAAAGTAATTTTCTAGCGTAGAAATCAGTCATTAATGCACATTATGCCATTCAAATAAGAAGGAAAATGCATCGCATGTGTAAGAACCCAGATAGTTAATATATAAATACATATCGATCAAGATATTTGATGAGGTAGTTAAGTGATGAAGCTTTTGTATTAATTGGAGTAATGCCAGACAATTGTGTGAAGACGCTTGCCGTTAATGGCGTGACAAATAGAAGTATAAAGTAAGTTAAATCAAACTGTTTTATTAATTAAAGCATCGATCTAGACATGTAAAAAAAAATTAGTTATGCTCTAAGAAATTGTATTTTATATTAATTATGGATAACAGTACAAAGTGATGTGTAAAGGAATAGAAGACATTTTTCAGCCAAATTACGGATATATAATACGAAAATAAAGAAACATGAACAGATGTGTCTTAACGCAAGGAAGCGTAACTCCGTTATGAAAAGAGAAGATCATCTTCTCAAAATAACTTTTCGTTTTAGTTTTGAATAAAAAATATTCAAGAAACTAAAAGTGGTCCCTCTTCAGCCTGGCCACGCCATGTGTTGTATTCATTTTTGGTGTTGTATATTCAGTTGAGCTGTGTTCACCCGTGCTTTCCGTGCTGTCAAACTTTAATGCTGTCAGAAAAAATCTGTGCTATGAGAAGAACTAAGTGCTGTGAGAACTACTCTCTGCTGTGGAAGAACTGCGTGCTGTGAGGACTTTCTAGTTGAAATCCTTAATGACATGTTTATTCTATACTAATAGCATTATTACTGTATGCATTGAAACTTCTGAAGTGAAACAATAAAAACTGTAAAATGCGTAGACATTGTTGGAGAAAGGAACCAATAATTAAAAACTAGGATGTTTTGTGACATTTTTAAATGTTGAACAAGATTTATATTTCAACAATTTTTTGTGTTTAATATTATTATTTTTTTTATGACATGAATCTTAAAAGAGCGGCATTGTTTAGTTGGAATACGTTCAAGTTAATGCCTACATTTCCAGATGTGTTAAATTGTTTGTCTTGTAATCAGTTATGTTTCACAGAGAATCTCAATCTCGCTCAAAGAAATATTTCATTACTGCACGAGATGCTGGATGTAAAAGACAAAACCAATGTTGATGCAGAAACGTTAACCACGCCCTTCTTTGTATTAATGTATGCCGTAATAAGTACACATTTTTTTTTAAAATTACATTTAACCACTCTAGACTTGATGGAATAGCTCTTCTATTTCAAGCTTCGCAAAAATCTATTTATCTATTTTATACTTTTCAATGATGTGTCGCAATGATCAATATCTTTAATTCTCTAAATATGAAAGAAAATTCTATGTGATGGTGAGTTTATAGCCATCAAAATTCAATTCCCGAAAGCTGCGCTAAATGAGATTCTTCAAATACCGTACATGGTGCGTAAAATTTCCTTTTGTTTTAGGTCGTCTCAATTTAAATATGATGTAATAAATCTGCGGTAAAAAAGGGCGTGGGAAATTAAACTATTTATAAAATTCAGGGGCGTAGAAAACAGTGTGCCGTAGCATATCTTATGGGTTAACATTAATTGGGCTCTTATAAATTGTGATTACTTGAATGAGTGTTTTGTCAAGGATCTTTTGTGGATGAAAATTTCACGCATTGTCGCCGCTAACATTTGGAACACTATAACTAGTATTATCTTTAATACATTGTACTCAAGTTAATCTTGAAATTAAGCGTCCTACTTTTTCAAATGGGCCTTCTTGTAAATAATGCTGGCATTTCTTGGTGTCAGAAATTTGTTCAATAAATATCATTCTTCAAATTTATAGAAAAAGTTTTCTTTAAGCTTAATTATTTATTTTTTTAAATTTAAATAGTTTTTCACCCATAGTTATGAAAGATGTGGAAGAATTTTCTTTCCCATCAAGATTTGTTCTGATGTTGACACCTGTACAAGATGATCTACATAGAACATGATTGTGGTAGCCAATTCCACGTTATCTTTATTTATGAAAGATGTTTGTTTTACTAACTAGAGCATCAAACGTTTGTAAATAAATAATTTGTCTCTGTAGTAGGATATCAAGAATTATAAAATTTGCTAAACAGTCGTGTACAATGTTACAGATTAATTTAATACTTACAATGGTCTATACTTAAGCTTGATACAAACCCATTGTCTTCAACTTCATTGTTTTCTTCAAATCGATTTTGTTTGTGATTGTAATATATTTGTTTTAAAAAACAAGATATTGACGAGTTTTATTTTTTTTTAAATTGAACGATAAAAGCTGTCAAATTCTTTAGAAAGAAATAGATTTGAAAAACGTGCAAGGGCGAAATTTGGTGAATTATAAGAAAATAAAATGTTAACAAAATATCACAGTTTAGAAAATTGTATTGTTTGGGAAATCTTTTGACTCCAAACACGTTGCAAAAATTTGTAAAATTCGGTCATTCAAAGTGTATATCTGTTGTTAAGGCAACAAATATCACATTAATTCTAAGAAACATGACAATAACTATGAGAACTATAAAGCCTTGGTCGGGACGCTTTTAGAGCACACTTCTGGCAGCATGCTGGAAACCACTGGGCTGGTCAGCATTGGAGGAACGACGACGACACTACAGGCTTTCCATGATGTACATGATACCAAAAAATGGGCTGGTCCACTGCTCCAGCATTCAACAGAAACTCGTCCCTCTTCCTCCTAGACAGCGACGAGGCCATGACAGGCAGTTCCGGCTCATAAAAACAAGAACTCATTACAGAAAATCCTCACTGCTGCCCAAGACAATAAGGGACTTGAACATGCTTCCAAAATGAATAGTTGAGGCGACCACACTTGACACATTTGCGTCTATTGTCTCCTTTCTTCCCACCCCCAGATCATAATACAATCGCTGAGTTGCCCTTGCAACCTGTGGAGTGTACCCTTCAAAACCATGCACAGTTAAAGTTATCAAAAATTAAAATACTTTGCAGCAAATGACTGTTTTATTACTGCATGTGATTAAATTTTTAACAGAAAGGAATGTTTCCGGCGCTTGGTCAGTGTTCTTGACCACTTTTTTTTACTATTTATTTGCAGAGATCAAATTTAGTTAAGTGACTTAAATGAGTTGGTTTTTTTCCCCAAAGACAGGGTGACTGCAACCTTACACTTTTTTTTTTGCGCAGCAAATATAGGTGCGAAAAATTGCAACAGGAAGTCAATACAGGGGAAATAACTAAGAGTCGATTTGTTTACATTCTGACTATAAAACCAAAGATGTTTCGGAGACTAGATCTGTTCCCAACAATCATTTGTAAACAAACATGATCGAATGACTTCTACAATGTCAGACTCTTAGGTTGGGTATCAACAATTCTTCTGACCGCTTGACAAACCCATCACTTTATTAATTATTTAAAAATACAAATTAGTTTGGACCAAAACATTTTCATTAAGGTTTTTTATATTTTTTTTAAAATTACTTTTATGACAGGACCCATGACCCAGGACCCATGACCCATTACTTGAAAGTCTAAATCCCTTCATTAAGTTTTTAGAGGAAGACACTGTCCAATGTGAACCATAGGAGATTCCTTTTTAAACCCATGGCGCATTAAATTTATTATTTTCGGATGGTTCTGAGACGGTTTTTTCATATTTAAATGATCCCGTCTAACATACAAAGAAGATTCTATCAGAGGAAATAAGGTGTATTCTTTCATATCTTCCTACCACAGCAAAGAATGTACAATGTTTTTATAAGCACATAATAAACATGACACAAATTTGTGAAAAAAAAACAACCATATAAATGTGTGATCCAAAGGGCCCTTACTCCCCCTATATTGCGTTTGGTCGTTACAATGCCCAAATAGAGAGTAAAATATAAATAAGACGGTTGGTGGGTCTTATGGCTTCGTCATGCCGAGAAGAGTTTGAAAGGGGGGGGGGGAACTTATCCACTGAACCAATCATTTGGTTTGGTCTTAAGTTTAACAAGCAATAGTTTATCCACTGAACCAATCATTTGATTTGGTCTTAAGTTTAACAACCAATAGTTTATCCACTGAACCAATCATTTGGTTTTTTCTTAAGTTTAACAAGCAATAGTTTGTCCACTGAACCGATCATTTGGTTTGGTCTTAAGTTTAACAAGCAATAGTTTGTCCACTGAACCAATCATTTGATTTGGTCTTAAGTTTAACAAGCAATAGTTTATCCACTGAACCGATCATTTGGTTTGGTCTTAAGTTTAACAAGCAATAGTGTGTCCACTGAATCAAACATTTAGTTTGGTCTTAAGTTTAGCAAGCAATAGTTTATCCACTGAACCAATCATTAAGTTTGGTCTTAAGTTTAGCAAGCAATAGTTAATCAACTGAACCAATCATTTGGTTTGGTCTTAATTTAAGCAAGCAATAGTTTATCCACTGAACCAATCATTTGGTTTGGGGCTTAACCTAACAAACAATAACGTATCCACTGAGCCGATCATTTAGTTTGGTCTTAAGTTTAACAAGCTATAGCTTGATATAGTTAATCCACTTAACCAATCATTAAGTTTGGTCTTAAGTTTAGCAAGCAATAGTTTGTCCACTGAACTTATCATTAAGTTTGGTCTTAAATTTAGCAAGCGATAGTTAATCCACTTAACCAATCATTAAGTTTGGTCTTAAGTTTAGCAAGCAATAGTTTGTCCACTGAACTTATCATTAAGTTTGGTCTTAAGTTTAGCAAGCGATAGTCATTCCACTGAACCAATCATTAAGTTTGGGGCGTACGCTTATCAAGACATGAATTAACTTCTACTCGATGTTTAATTTCATTGAATTATCGCCACGGGTTTAACCATTATATCTTTATCTTAATAATATCTTATAAAAGAATTGTTCATATTCTTTGTGGGCTCAGCTAATTAGTGCCTCTAAGTGCCCTTGATTATTGAGTCAACGCTTAGCCTCTTTTCTGGGCAGAGCATGACATCATATCCACAACGCAAGAGAGCAGTGGCATAATTTGCCCGGTATATGAGAACTGTGTTGTTGTGAGAGGTCCCGGTCTGTGGATTCCCTGATATGTCGGATGCTCGCAGTGGTGTGTCCCTGGTTTTGTCACAGCCAAACACTGATGGGGAAGCTATAGGTCAGCCAATGGTCCGTCACCGACTGTGCCGACAGGCGGAGAGGTCGTCTACAAATTGTCCACCTAAATATCGTTGTTGCCGGGTTGCATGATTTCTCAGAAGGTTTTCTTGCGTTCTAGCTGTCACTACACCTGCCCCACCATTGGCATAGGAGGAGGCAGTTCTTGCTGTCACTACACCTGTCCCACCATTGGCATAGGAGGGGGTGTGGAGGAGGCGGTTCTCCCAGGGGGACACTTTTTTCTATATAATGAAGGGCGGTGTAGTCACCCAAAGGCATATTGTTGTCTTCGACTATGGACGGCAAAGCTAACCCTAACTACACATCTACGCCGTATCAAACCCATAGGATGGGGCTTTAAGCATTGCGTTGACAGCAAATTATGGAATTGACTGTGTTTGGATGACCCAGTTTTTCTTGAATATCCTATATCATATATTATAAAATCTATTTACCAATGAAATGTAAAATGTCGAAACAAAAAGTGAGTATGATGATGTCCATTTTCGATATGACTAATGGAGAAAAAAAAAGCTACAGGCTTTTTATTGGTAGCGTGCAAATCACAGAGTGTCATACTGGGTAATGTTCTAAACACATAAATGTTATATATATATATATATATATATATACTAAATGCATGGGTATTAAATAGTATGCTTAGCACAGGGTCTTGTGTCCACTCCCACAGACGGACGTCTTCCAGATGTAACGTGCCTGTTATCACGTGACCGTCCCTTTGCCAAGTGTGTGCCATGAGCAATGTGATGCACGCCTACCTGGCCTACCGTTACCTCCATATGTAGGCCATGTGCCATGAGTAAAGAGAAGCTCGTGAGGCTGATACTGCTGTTCGTGATCACCGCTGACCAAGGATCTGTCCACTGTTTTCAGTAAATAGAGTTTGCTTTCATTTTTGGATATTTAATACTCATTATTTGACATTATTTACAGATGTAGGGTTGAATTTACAGATTTAGGGTTGAATTTACAGATATGGCTTTGAATTTACAGATGCTGGGTCTGATTTACAGATGTAGGGTTGAATTTCCACATTTTCTTAGGAATTTTCTCATAAAGTCGTTTTTTATTGTTGACAATTTGATAAAAATGATTGACCCAAAGCATTGAAAAGTAAAGTAGAGCGTCGATTTTCCGAAAACAAATTGGGAACAAGGGTGTTTCAGATAAAACAATTGGGAACAAGGGAGTTTCACATAACACAGTTGAAACAAAGGTGTTTCAGATAAAACAATTGGGAACAAGGGTGTTTCAGATAAAACAATTGGAACAAGGGTGTTTCAGATAAAACAATCGGAACAAGGTGTTTCAGATAAAACAATTGGGAACAAGGGTGTTTCAGATAAAACAATTGGGAACAAGGGTGTTTCAGATAACACAATTGGGAACAAGGGTGTTTCAGATAAAACAATCGGAACAAGGGTGTTTCAGATAAAACAATTGGGAACAAGGGTGTTTCAGATAAAACAATTTGGAACAAGGGTGTTTTAGATAAAACAATTGGGAACAAGGGTGTTTCAGATAAAAAATTTGGGAACAAGGGTGTTTCAGATAAAACAATTAGGAACAAGGGTGTTTCAGATAAAACAATTGGGAACAAGGGTGTTTCAGATAAAACAATTGGGAACAAGGGTGTTTCAGATAAAACAATTGGGAACAAGGGTGTTTCAGATAAAACAATTGGGAACAAAGGTGTTTCAGATAAAACAATTGGGAACAAGGGTATTTCAGATAAAACAATTGGGAACAAGGGTGTTTCAGATAAAACAATTGGGAACAAGGGTGTTTCAGATAAAACAATTGGAACAAGGGTGTTTCAGATAAAACAATTGGAACAAGGGTGTTTCAGACAATAAGGAGGGAACGATGGTGTTTAAAACAGGCCTGAACAACTCACATTTTAAAATGGGCCGTAAATTTTAAATGAAAAAAACGTGTTCGGCCGGAAGAAAATAGGACTGGGGGAAAAGCTATTAAGAAAAAAATAATCAAAAAGAAAAGTTCGTTACTTTGCGGGCCGCAAAGGGGTTGCTGACGGGCCGCAAAGTTGTTGCTGGCGGGCCGAATAAGTGGGTGCTGGTGGGCCACACGTAGCCCTCGGGTCGTATGCAGTGCAGGC